ACCCCCACCACACCACCTAAATAACAGCAGCCCTCCCACTTCACAACCATTAAGAAACTGCCTGCCTTTCTAAATAGATGGCATGAAAGGTAGAAAGAGGCTGGTTAGAGGAGATAAATTATTCTAAAACAGCCAAACAGGACTGAGACTAAGAACCCTACCTCACCGGTCCCTCCAGCTCCTCCTTCCAGGTGTCACTTTCGGCTGACTCAATTTTACACTGTAATGGACCTCCTGGTTCAACTACTTTTCTCCAACCTTTTCTTCCTTTTTTATCTCTCCTCCACTCTCTTTATCTATCAGCTGCTGACAAAACCTTAACTCACTTTCCTGAAACACACAATTATTTCCTGTACCAACTATTTACTTTGTTCCACTTAAAAGTAATGTTCAAACTGCAGGCAAAAGCGACCCAAATCAGATTTTTTATGACCGTCTGAACAAGGCAAATCCTTTTTTTTTCRAATCCGACCCAAGCCTTTTCAGTAYGTGGTACTGAATCGGATACAAATCTGATATTTTCAAAGCGACTCCGACTTTTTCTTCATCAGCGAGGTGGGGGTGAAAGATCGTTAACTAAACTCGAGTCACAATGTTCAAATCTGTAACCCCACATGATCGAGATGTTTATAATTTTTCCTGTCCTAAAGTACGATCCAGCCTCAGATAATCCAGCRTCAGATAATTATTTAATCAGCACCGATTGAACAGCAACTTCAGATTCGACATGCTAAATGTAGCATCCATGCTAGCTCTGTAAACAAACATCCAGCTGAATGAGGCGTCTTTTTCTGCGCATGCAGGTCACATCAGTGCCGTGTGGCGTTCACACTGCAGTCTGACGGAGGTCACGTTTAAAAGGCATTAAGACCTGTAGTGTGAACAAGGCCAAAGTTATCACTCTACCACAAACTCCTGTTTGGACATGAGAAGTTCAGAAGATGCTCACAGATTTTCTAAAAAGAAATTAAGGTTTTAAAATAATACCTTCAGTTTTGAGGGAAAATTTATTTTAAAAAGCTTGGATTTWTAATATCTTGTTTAACGGTACCAGGCTTAAAATCAGTGTATTATTTTTTTCAGCTTCTTTTGGGAAGTTATTTTTTTGTGTTGTAAGTAAATCCATACTCTTGTTATTTGAGGGTATTGTTTTCTCACCTCTTTGTTTCRCCATGCGTTCCACCAGCATTACTGTCGTCGCTTCAAAGTGGTCTTTTTCTTTTTTTCTCCTTTTTGTGTGTGTGTGTGTGTGTGTGTGTGTTGAGGTGGTGCTTCCACTTGTTGTTTCCTAGTTTTGTTGTTTCTGTGCATGTGAGGGTGTGTTTGTTTCTGGGTTTCATGTTTCCACCCTGCTCAATCCTAAAGGTCAGAGGTGGGCTGACCTTTACATTCCAGAACCTTTTTCTCTTCTAATTCCCCATATTTGGACAAAGTCTTTGTGAGCCCATCCCACCTCCTCCTGCCATCCATTACTTGCACATTTTTTCTGTAATCTACTCTGCCCCAMCAACATGAGCAACAAAAAACAAATGCATTCTTTAAGTCCTGTATTTGAACCAATACTGATTTTTGTCTGAAGTTGCCGAGATAAAACATTTTTTTTTTAATTTGTGCACTAACAGCCAGACAAATGATGAACCAACAAAAAGAGKTTGAGGGGGAAAGGGAGAAAAGAAGGCCCAATTTTCAGAAAAGGTCAKTTTAGAATCAGAAGTCCTAAAGAGATTCCAGAAGCAGTCAATCTGTTTTTTATTTTATTTTATTTTATTTATTTTCTTTACTTTTGAAATGCATGAAGTCACAGGTGAGGTAAAACAGCTAAAGAAAGGAATTAGCCAGGGAGGAGGATGTAACTCATAACTTTCACTCAAATTACTGTAATGATGAAGAATTGTGTTTTAASTTTTATTCTTAAAAGAAATTCTTAAGTAAATAATGTTAAACTAACTGTTCAGTCAGATGCMAAGTTACAAAAATGAACACGTAAATATAAATTAATATTTCATCTCAGTTGCTTTCATTTAATAACTGTACAACCTCCAAAACAAGACAGGGAATTGTCTTATTTTGTACTTAGCGCCTTTTTATTTCACCAAAAATGTGCATGTAAATTGCCATCAAGTCATTAGTTCAAAGGGTTTCATCAGAAGATCTTCAGAGATAAATGTTTTCATTTAAATAGTTAATGCATCATATTTCAGGGAAATAAACCTGTAATTTTAAAGCAGTTGTCGTTTCTACTGGGGAGATTTAAAACTACACATATGGGAAAATTTAATTATAAAGATTTTACTCAAAGAATATTTTAGATCATTTACTGTTTATTGTGGGAGCAGAAAAAAATGGAGCTTTATATTTTGAATAACCTTATTTCTGCCTTATCTTTAGAGAATAGCACYACACAGGAGTTATTCCTCAAAGACTACAAGTTGTTGGCGTTATTCCCTGTCCAAAAATGACAAACTTGATTATTGATTTAACCTCTAAACAATGTTTCTGCATATCATAATGAGTTAAAGCCATTATGGTTGGGGAAAAAAGCCTTGATTACATCTTTGTAAAAGTTTATAGGCACATCTGCGTAGAAATTAGGTGTCTTTGTACAGCACATAAAAGCACGTTCAAAGATTTATCTGTATTTTTTTTCTCTCCCGACAAAACTGGATTCTTTTTTTYGTTTCCACCTAACAAACTGAGTCACCAAAACTGGTCTTACTGTCCTCGTCTTCCAGCATCACCTCCCTCCATCATCAGAGTTCTGTAGAAYGGCCAAGAGTGATTGATCTGGTGTGGAGGCTGTCTTAGGCCCGCCCCCTCATCTCCTCCTCCTCCTCCTCCTCCAGTGGTTATGAACATGAGGCGGGCTGCTCTTCATAGATTTTTAAATTAGTGTCAGCTTTGCCCCAAAGATGTGTTATTGACTGATGAAATAGAAACTGAGCTCCAAACACTCAGTCCTTCCCCAGAGTTTTCCCCAGCCGGGTAATTGAAAAAGTGTGAAGGGAGTGTGTTCAAGGCAGAGTGCAACCCTGCGTGTGTGTGTTTGTGATTTTTAGCTGTTTGTGTGTGCTTGCAATTGTGTGCTCTTTATCTCTGCTGGAGAAAAATGCACTGTGCTTGCCAGAGTCGAGGCTCGATTGAAGCATTGCATAGGAGATCTTTATCTTTCTCCAACAACCACCCTGAAACATGAGGATTGTGTACAACTTTAATCCAATAAATACAGGATGTAAGCCTGCAGAGGAACGGTTAGTAAAATGTACAAGTGTTTGAACACCACTGGGTTGTTGTTGGCTTAATCACTGAATGTGCGCAACCTTGTGTGATTTATCTCTGGTTCCGTCACAAACAGTTCCTGGAAGAAGAACAAACCTTGGATTGTTGCAACTTTTTTTAAATGAAATCAACTCAAACATGAAACTGTAGTTTTAGCCACCTTTCACTTCAATAACGTTTTAATTCTCACAATAATTACTCAGATAAGGAGGCCTAYTAGAAGACATGCAACTGGCCAAATAAAAAAAAAAAAAGATTATGAAGTTGGATTTTGCTTGTAAATAACCTTTGTCATGTTTTTTTTTTTCTTTGCAGGGTCAGACATGGCCATCTTTTGCCTTCTGTGTGGTAAGCGTTTCCAGACCCAGACAGCACTGCAGCAGCACATGGAGGTGCACGCCGGCGTCCGCAGCTACATTTGCAGCGAATGCAACCGAACATTCCCCAGCCATACTGCACTCAAACGTCACCTCCGCTCACACACAGGTCAGTAGAAAAGCCCGTTATCCATCTTCACTTTCCCACCTTTAATAGAGGATGAAGGTGTTTCTAGTCTCTTTTGTTTGCAGTGGTGCGCAGCCCTAACCCAAAAATTAGCTCCGCAATTTCTAAAGTGCATATGAAAATATTAAGGTCCGCAACTTTGAAAGTGCTTATGCCATAGAAAAACCAGCAGAAGCTAATTTTAAAGTGCAAATTCAATTTGTCACTTTCTAGCTGGCAACAACTGTACAATATATGCACAACACTGCCAACTAGTGGTGCATGAACCTTTCTGTAGCTTAATCCTACAAGTGCCGATTGCTGGGGATGTGATTCCCTGAAACAGACCTTTGGCTCCTGGTGTAAAAATTAAAAAGTTGTTGAGGATTGCTATTTCGGCTGCTTTGTCTTTTTCTTTTGTTTGTTGTAGATTTTTCATTAAAGCATCATCAATAAAGTAATTTTAAAACTGTTTATTGGAAAACTGAAGCAATGCATTCTGGGTACATGACGGATTTGATTTGCGACGGGAAACGAAAGTTTTCCATGTAGTTGCCCCAGTTGACCACTAGATGTCTGTCTAACCCCATTGGCGGATTGCTTCGACCAATTACGTCAAGTTTTGAGCTCCAGCATTTAAACTTTATTTTAAAAAAAGGAGCTCCGATTTGTAAAATAAAATAAATCAATACATACAAAATTTTAGTATGCATTACAAACGTTTACTG